CAGTACTTAGGATACCGATTACTCGACTAATCCAGCCATCGCAGTGTCGGAGCTTCGAAACTCGGACACGGGGGCTGGGTTTTACGTTGCCATGCACTCATACTCGCCGTCGGGGACTTTGGAGACTTTCCGTCTTCATGTCAAGACATCAGAAGGCCAGCGTATGACCCTCGTTCTCATGAAATGGATGCGCACTAACCATGTGTCAAGTAACTATACCCCAGCATGACGGGAACATTGCAATTAACGGGCACCAAGCGAAGATTCTTGTCACCGACTTCCAGTTCGGGTCTAAGAAACTACTCTACTCGACCGCTGAAGTTTTAACCTATGCGCTAATTGACGGCAAGGAAACTCTGGCTCTATGGGTTCCGACAGGGGAATCAGGGGAGTTCACCGTCCTGGGCGTCAAACCGGCCAAGGTGAAGTCCTGCGAGGGGTGTGCGAACGTGAAGTTCTTCCCTGGAAAGTCAAATATCACCGTCTCTTTTACGCAGAACGCGGGGATGAGCGTGATAGAGTTTGATGATGGCTCAAGGGTTGTGCTTCTCGATCGGTCCGCGGCATATCTCTTCTGGGCGCCGAGCCTGGCGAATGATCCTATGCATGCTCCTAATTCTACAAGTCAGTCGAGCCGTACCTCGCACTTTTCACAAGTCGTTCCAGCAGCTGACAAAAGTCATAGTCTTAGTTCAAGGTCCTTATCTCGTTCGATCATCGAGCATCCAAGGACATGCCCTCGAGCTGACAGGAGACGTTGCTAACGCAACTACGGTTCGAGTTTTCGCCCCTGAATCGATCCGTAAACTGAAATGGAACGGAGAGAACGTGAGGATCAACTCAAATGCCAACGGATTCTTGACAGCTCAACTTAAAGGGGCTCCTTCCTACACATTACCGCCCTTGGATGGCTGGAAGTATGCTGATAGTCTGCCGGAGATACGCAGCGATTATGATGCCTCCGGGATTGCCTGGAAAGGTACGTAACTGCTCTCAATATCCTTACGTACATTCCCCTTTCTCACTATCGCCAGCCGCCAATCACACCAATACTTCAAACCCAACTACTCCTGCCTCAAATAACCCAGTCCTCTATGTCGATGACTACGGAGTTCATGCCGGCTCTCATCTGTTCCGGGCCACCTTTCCAACGACGCAGAAGCCACCCACAGGCGTATTCCTAAATATCACCGGCGGTCTCGCATTCGGATACTCCGTCTGGCTCAACTCGCACTTCGTCGGCTCGTGGCTGGGGCTATCCTACATCGACAAGCAAGGACTCCAGCTGTCGTTTAAGAACATCACCCTGAACTCGGGGGAGAAAGACAACGTCCTCGTCGTGCTAATGGATAATTCCGGCCACGACCAGCGCACGGAAGCCCTGAACCCGCGGGGCATCACGAACGCCACCCTCCTGGGTCCAGGCGGTACCTATTCTTTCACCGAATGGAAGATCGCCGGCACGGCTAGAAAAGAAGACGCCGTGCTGGATCCTGTCAGGGGCTTCCTTAACGAGGGCGGCTTGTACGCTGAGCGTGTCGGGATGCATCTCCCCGGATACCCTGATGCGGACTGGAACGTTGTAGAGACCGACGACTCGCTGCTCAGTATCCACGGAGCAGGCGTTCGCGTTTTCAGGACGCGGGTATCGCTGGATATTCCCAGTGGCATCGACGTGTCGGTTTCGTTCCGGCTGACTGCCCCCTCTGAGACGACCTTTGTCTCCGAAGCTGGCAAAACCAACCAGCTGCGGGCGCTTCTGTTCATCAATGGGTATCAGTATGGTCGCTTCAATCCGTATATCGGGAATCAGATCGATTACCCTATTCCGCCTGGAATACTGAACTATAGTGGTGATAATGATATCGTCGTCACGCTTTGGAGCCAGTCCGCCGAGGGCGCCGAGATGAAGATCGAGTGGAACGTGGATTACGTGCATACGACCTCTTATGATATGCGCTTTGATGCGTCTTATTTGCGGCCGGAATGGAATAGTGAGAGGTTGGGCTACAGGTAGGATGAAAGTGCATCGTGGAAGGATTAGGAGAAAGAATCTTGGCGTCGACGCAGGCACTAGGCGTGGACACTACATTGTTGACTATTCAAAACAATGATAAGCTTCTGATGCCCGTTGCCCCTATCCTGATACCTAAACTCCTTGAAATGTGTTTAGGCGTGGGAGAACCTGACGTGTGCTCTCCAGTAAGCCTCACGAACCTCTTCACCATGTGTCCACCCATAGCATACATCTGTATAGGAACCGTAGTTAATCTCCCAGATATCAACCAGCGGCATATTTTTTATCGCAACTCTTATGTGTGGTAATAGGATGTTTGTGTGAATGTTTAAAATCATGTTCTACAAGTTGGCAAAGTGACACTATCTTCTCGTTGATTATGTTCTGAATATCGTATTTGTTGACACTTCCGTGTAGCCGCCCTGTGTGTCGGTGGCGTAGTTTCACAGTGAACTCACCTTTTTGTACTGCGAGCTCGATGTTCTATTTACAAACAGTTTCTAACGAGGAATTCTAAGAAAATTGAAATTATACGGGGTAAATGACCTCACGGTGTGAGCTGATACACGTGCGCGTGTGTGTTGGCATTTCTCCCGCCAATTAGAGTCACGAGATGGTGCTGTTGTCTAAGAGCTTTGGCCGATTATATGATACGTCAACACCATGAAAAAGCTATCCTGCCTCAGTTTACCTCACAAGCAACTCATCTGTGCGGGTTGGTGGTCCATTCCTAACTTCTCTGACCTGGGTATAAAAAGCCGCGCAGGCCCGCCATAGTGGACAACATATTCTAGTCATCAAACACACTCAAATACCTCTCTTCAATCGATGATCGAGAGTATTACAGCACAACTCCTACCCTAATCATGCCTCGTCTTGTAGAACTTTTCGACTGCTTCTTAGTCAGACGCTTCTGGACCGGCGACGACGCTGGAAGAGCTCAAGATGAGCAAAATACGGCTCCTGGCGTAGGATATCGCTCTGAACCGACCCCTACCGCTGGGTATCGAGAACAAATAGCCAACCATCGGTCGCAGGACTCCTCGTCCGATGAGGCTCTAGAGACACTGGATAGTGAGACCTACAGCAGAGCAAGCACGTCGTCGGAAGTGTCCTCAAGTGATTGTTCTCAGACTGGGGATCAGACGGGTATCGGAGACCAGAGGTCTTTTGCGTTTAAAGGGCTTGATGAACTTGGATTATTTCGTCCGCGCTCAGCTTGCAGTATCTCTTCAACTTCTGGCTTCAGGGATCAAAGCGATAGTGAAAGTGATACCGATGACGACGAGGAAGGAGGAGAAAGATTTTTCGATGGATATGCCCGGAAATCTGGCGTGTGTTATTACAGTCTTGGCAATTTTCAACCCTCCAGTACTTTAACCCAACCTCTCCGTCTTTTGTCCTCGGAAGATATGGCAGCCATTGAGGCTCTATTTTGTCATCCCGGGGCGCGCCACGTTGCTAGAGAGACTGGATGGGGAGACTTTACGCGAACGATGACCCGTTTAGGGTTTTCCATGATGCCGGGCGCCGGTGGCGCTGTTCGTCGATTTGAGGTCGTGGGAAGAAGCGATTTAATTCCAGCTAGATCAGAAGGCGAAGTGATCACTGCGCATGAGCCCCATGGAAGGCGAACTACTCTAGGTCGTCGACGAATGCGGGGGACAGGAAGAAGATTGACAAATGCATTTGGGTGGTCTGCCGAAACATTCGGTAGAGAATAGGGGGTCTGGAAAGACGTCGATACGTTAGTGATGCTGCCAAATTAGTCCCATTGAGTATTTTGTGGACTGGTATACGTGATAGCCAATGACAAACAATGAAAATCAGTTGCGCAAACCACGTTCCTTTATTGAAATTGCTAGGGCAAGTTGCACGACATTAGGCGACCTACGTCTGGCTATGGAATCTAGTAAACATTCCCGGATGTTGATAGTGTAGGTCCTTCTATGAGGACATTTTCTTGAAATGCTCCAACCTTTTCAGCTAGTAAATAACATTAGCATAATCGAGAGATAATATTCAGGCTTTTGCAATTATATCCTGAGAAACAATTCCTCCCATGCTACATTCTTAAGGCCATCCTGCTAATATTAAAGATAAAAACAGATGAAATGGACATACAGAGTATCTAGGTAAAAGAGAGTAGACAAACCGGAAGAAAAACCCAGAAGAAAATAGAAGGAAAAAACAGACGAGGAAAAAACTTACAACACCACGGATTCGCTGGTCATCACCGACCCAGCTACTAATCTGGCGCTCATAGATATTGGACAAAGGAGCCGGGTTAATTGATTTACGCAGCTTTCATTTCTAAAACCGCCCCTGAGCAAATCCAAGAAAAGTGTGTATGCAAGGAGCAAGGCAGAAACTGGTTCAAGGATCAGCGACCAAATACTGGTTTGTGAATGATACTGTTTCTACAGCTATAATAGCAAAGTAGGTACTTCGACATTAGCAACGGTGATCTTTTACCATCAAGTTCATAATTGTTTTAAACGTCTTCTTGTATCTTGGACCAAATGGATCAACATGATCCGGTTACTGTACATGTTGTACCGCTGTGCCAAGGCCAAGCTGACGGCTATCGGGGGTGGCCTACAGTGGGGAAATATCCGTTCGGTCTAGGACTTCTTCCCGGCCCGATGACGAGGAATGAAACCCTTTAGCTACTTCGTTCTAGTCTTCTACATCTTTCTCATTCTGTTTCCTTTCAATTAAAAGCATCCGAGTTGTCTTCATATTTTTTTCCGATTAATAACAGATCCCTTCCAGTTCACATATCAGTAAAAAAATCTAGGTCATTCCGCGGCTACAACAACACTCCTCACACAACCGCCGCCTCCAAATGTTAGGTACTTTTCATAGGTAGTTGGCAAGTGTTAAATGGTCAGTTGAAGTTTGACTAAGCCGCGCAATGTCTAGTACCAAAGCTGAGAGTGAGAAGCTTAATAGTTTTAAACAAGCCCAACACTGGTAAATGCCTAGAGTGGTGTAGTGGTAACACGCCAAGGTGACAGTTAGGTCCTTCTTCACTGAGGGCTTAATCCCTCCGGGGGCGGAGTCCCAGGTTCAATCCCTGGCTCTAGGGAATCTTTGTAAACTTTACTTATACCATTTGTGTATATCTTTTTCTTTCAACAGTATATGATTTAATTCTATTATAATAACGCCAGACAGAGAAATAGGACGAAGAAGCACTTTGTGGGACAAGACATATAGTTCGGGAACATGGCTAGCTTTGGGAATGTACAGTTGGCATCGATACACCGGCAGAAGACTGATATGATAGATAGATAGGTTGACCGCGTAAGTGGTTATATAGATGGATATGATTTGTCAATAACAGGGCTCGATCACCGCTACGGAGGGAATATAGGATGCTTGGCAGTGTGAGTGAGCACTGCCAAGCTTGGTGCAAGCTTCACGTGCCAGTATTTCTGTAGAGCTCTCTCTGCATAGATAGACGCGTCCGTTCCTTGCCCGCGCTTGAAATTCTACTCAATCTTCCTATCTCTTAGTTTCCTATCCTTTAACAGAATATACGAGGCCAAGGTCGGGTCTCGATATTATATGGTCATAAGATTACGTCAGGGTAGTACTACCACAAACCCGAGTGGCAGTATCGCAGCGACCTAGCCGGATCTGGTAATCATTGCGGCTGAGCTCTTGATATCAGGCACTCTATATCTCAAGCTCGTCAATATTGCGAAACTGAAATGACAATATCATAAATGACGAGTATGGAATCTTTAGAGCCCAAACGTGAACCCGGCAACGTCCCTGATACCAGTGTTCTCGGCCAGAAGCGCCCACTACACGATCCGGAAACTGACGATGCCTTCTCATCAGACGATAAAGACGGGCCGTCCCGGGCTGGGAAGCGAGCCTGTCCTGATCCTGAAGACACTGGGTCATCGAAAAAACTGACCACATTGATAGTTCATAGCGTGAATTGCATAAAAACTCCTGGACACGAAGCACATCTGGAGAGGGCCTTGTACCTTGATCGGCCTCGCCTGTTCAAGGGTGACAGCGGCGCCAGTACATTGAGAGGTCGCCTTCCTATCCACAGTGTTGAAGGTTATGTAGATAACCACGAGGATATTGGCCTGATGATTGTCAAGACCTACGACTGCGTAGGATATCACAACCACATCAAAGAGGCCTTCGTGCGACTTCCCCGCCCCAACCATCCTCCAATACCAGACGATATACGGCCTTACTTCAATGTTCTCCGAGACACATGTAGCTTCGCTGTCGCGCGAGACGAGGCCATCGCACCATTTGAATCTCTCGAAAGGGTGCTCAAACAACTGGCGCAACTCGACCCAGTACTTTCTGACTGCTATGCTAACTTGAAGCCTCCGTATCTGCAAGTGTATCACACTCGAGCGCGGATTAAGGAGCTGGCACGGGACAAATTGGACGAGTCAAGAGCGGCGCTGGTTTTTCTCTTGCTGGACTATGTCGTGGAATCATTCGGGCCAGAGTATCAAGAGGCTGAGGCTCTGTTTTCCAAGGGACTAGTGACTAAAAAACATCTGGCGAAATTGTACGGACCAAACGAAGTCTTAGTCACAGTCGAAGAAGATGAACCGGTGGGCTATCTGTCCAAGAAATGCCCCGTTCAAGCAGGTGGTCCATTTACCCTAAGTTGTTACAAGTGGACATTCGACGGGCAGTTTCGAAAGGAGGAGACAATGCTGACGGTGGCATGGCCATCAGATGGCCGCGGACCGATACGTATTACTTCTTTAAATGCATATCCACTGCGATACGACCCGACGGAACAACTAGAGATGACACTGAGGAACCGTGGTACTATGTTTTGGGCCTGCCGCAAAAGGTGTATTGTAGGGTACGATGCACCTACTGCGAGCTTCGACATCCAAGTGGTACGCTGCCGTATTATCATTCCGTCGGGTATTTGAGATGTGGATCACTGACTCTTTCTTGCCCCAGTCGAACCCCAGATACGTGGTTGACATTGGTACCTACAAAGAGCTACATGCCAAGGATCAGAAAGTGACAAACGCCCGGGATGACCTAGGCGAGGAGGCTATGAACCTCGAAGAGCCTCCCAAGGACCCATTTCTCTTGCTACTTCCCCCTAAGATTTTGGGCTTCGGTTTGCATGACAAGAAGTGGAGTCAGTATAACTATCCTTCTTCGCGAGCACGACCGTCGGGAGCTAACCTTCTGTCCCATCCAGAAAATCTCTTCGTGAAACACCTAAACCCTGTTCAGTGGAACAAGAAAGCATTTGAACAGCTAGTTCTAGATCCGCAAAAGAAGGAATTGATCGAGGCTATGGTTCGCACGCACATAAGCTCGAGCATTACTACTGATGTTATCGAGGGAAAGGGGAAGGGCCTTATCATCCTACTGCACGGAGGGCCTGGGACGGGGAAAACGCTGACTGCCGAGAGCGTTGCTGAGTTAGCGGAAAAGCCCCTATACCGTGTGACATGCGGTGATATAGGGACCGACCCCGAGAGCGTCGAGAGATACTTGGAATCCGTGCTATACATCGGCACAATCTGGAAAGCTGGTATGACTCGTGTTCTGCTATTGTACTGTTGCTTGATCGAATTGTTACTGACTCCCAGTCAAGTTGTGTTGCTGGATGAAAGTGATGTATTTCTTGAAGAGCGAGAGAAGACAGATCTTCAGAGGAACGCTCTCGTCTCTGTGTTCCTTCGTGTTCTCGAATACTATGAAGGCATTCTGATTTTGACATCCAACCGTGGTAAGTGGTATTTACTAGTACAGTACCCAATTCTCTCTGTTTTCACCTCTATCACATTATGCATCTAATTCGGGCTAGTCGGTATTTTCGATGAGGCTTTTAAATCTCGCGTACAACTGACCCTTCACTATCCTCCCTTGGATACGAAGGGTAGGTGGCAGATCTGGGACAACTTCATAAGACTGCTGCAGAAACAGCAGGAGCAGGCGATTACCCAAGAAAGCAACAGGAATACCGGGTTGGCGGACGGCGAGCGGGTGAATACAGAGGAGCTTCGGGATAAAATCGACGTGCTGGCCAAAGAGAACCTAAACGGACGCCAGATCCGCAACGCCATCACATCGGCGAGGCAGTTGGCTCGATTCCGCGATAAGCCGCTGAGCTACACTCATCTGGACCAGACAATACGCGTCGTAAACGAATTTGAGAAGTATGTCGAGAAGATGCACGGTCATAACGCGAGAGACTATGCGCGAGCAACAGGTGTGCGACTAGAGTAAGGAGAACAGCAAGGAACAATCATGGGAACGATGTACTACAATGTTGATGTTGACAGCCACATGAAACGTAAGTGCTCTAGAGCCAAATTGGTTCTCCTCCCTTAAGCTCTGTGTGTTTACTTATGCCCACCTTAGGGAATCTCTTTAGTTCACTTCTCGAAATCTGGTATGGAAGACTCCGAGATGTAGTATTTAACGAGAAATTTTCTCATTTCGTGGTCTTTCTGAATCTATGATGTTTAAAGGGCTGGACTGCGCAAACCATAGCTCGCTGCAGGAGCCCGATCCCACTTAGATAAGATGTTGGGAGCAGCACCCTCGGATACTAATGATATTGGTGCGACTTTCTTGGCAGCTTTCTGCCTTTCTAACCTCAACTCTGGAGGATGCAATGGCTCTGATGTCCTTCCCACGAGTTTCGATAGATAGTAGGAAGGTCCCCGGTCATCCTCGTTATTACGTTTTAAGGTGTCGCCTATCATAGTATCAGGCGAATGTGTAGCGGGGAGGGCTGGTTCATCGTCGTTATCGGATCGATAGGTAGGGGTTTCGGGATTGGAGCCCTGGGACGGACGGAACAAAGACAGGGAGCCATTAAGCTCATGCGTCCTACGACGTTTGAGCATCTCAGACTTAGTAGCATCTTCGGGGCTCATTGCCCCAGTTTCGATCCCTTTGATTCCAGGCATAAGCGAGTGCGTCTGCCTTGACACTGCAGAGATAGCGCCAATGTCCTCCAACTTCTCTGACTCTTCCCGTAGTACCTGGAATACACGAGATAATCGTCCGATCGATGTAATCTTGTTTTTGATCTCTGATATGTGGTAGGGTACTAAGTTTGTTGAATCTACGATTGGAGGGAATGGCTCAGAAAAAGGGGAAGGCATCACGAGAGGTGCTTGCGAGGACGGAGGAGGGGAGCTCGAGTCCTTGCCAATGAACATTTCTGACTCGTTGTTACTTTTGTCCGGGGGAGAGTAAACGGTGCTAGACTGAGCCGAGTCCTTCCACCCCTTTCGAGAATAGCAACGCTTGAATGCAGAAAGCCGTTTCTTGCGAACCCGATCCTTGTTTGTATAGTCTTCTGAGATGGTGTAGCTCATGTGTCGGTCCGCATCCTTTTTAGATAGTTCACCCGGCTTGGTTGCTAACCGGGACGGCGATGAGAACAAACGCGCGGACGAAGTATCGCCGATTTCACCGTCCTCCGCCAACTTGCCTTTCAAACACACCATGCCCGCTTCTGAGCGGTGATGCCTCTGGAGTGCGTCCTCCCCAGCAAAACGGCGGCCACATCCCCATTCTCCTCCGGATTTCAGCGTGCCCCTGCAGACAAACTTCTTCTCTCCAGAGTGCAACCCCTCGTGCCGTTTTCTATCATTCTGACGCGCAAATGCTTTGCCACATACAGTGCAGACGAATGGTCGTTCGTCTGTATGTGTGCGTTGATGGGAGCGGAGGTTGTATGCGCGCGTGAATCGCTTGGGACACAGGTTGCATTGGAAAGTCGCGGGGTGTGTCTGGAGTCGGCTTGGCGAGGGATTCTCCTCTGAGAATGTGCTCTGTCGGTCAAAGGGCGTCAATGGCGATGGTCTTTGAATATCAAACTTTTCAGATTCCAGTAGCTCTTTCTTCTGAAGTGTCTGAGCTGATGAGTTAGAAGGGTGGTTGGATGAAGTTTCTTCTGGGTCGAGCGCAATAGCGACTGGGGAGGGGCTACGTGAGGTATCCAATCCTGATAAGAATGCCTCAAGCGAAGGGGATAGTGCTTCAATCGGCGATTCAGTATTGATGCTGGCACGGCCATTATCTGGGGTGGAAGCTCGGCACAAGCACTCC